AACTTGGCAGAGTTGATTGGAAGGGGAGCCGTGCAGGGAAGACGGTGGAGCTGCAATGGCAGGAGTTTGAGGTAATTCGGGAGGCACAGCAGAAATTCATCTGAAAGAAGACGAAACGTACTAAGGGGAGGATGAGGCAATCATGGCTGTCAGGGGAGATCAGGGACAGCATAAAGGGAAAAGCATACGATGTGGTGAAGATTAGTGGGAAGCCAGAGGATTGGTTGTTTTTAAAACGCAGCAGAAGATAACTAACAAAGCAGTAAGGGGGGAGAAGGTGAAATATGAGAGCAAACTAACTAATAGAATACTGCAGCAGTTCTCTTTTGATATCAAAATGATAGAGGCAGGAGTAAACATTGGACTGCTGGAAAATGAGCTTGGAACAATAGTAACAGGAGCAAAGAAATGATGGACAAATGGAATTTGTTCTTTACATCGGTTTTCACAGTGGAAGACACCAGCAGTGTACCAGAACTTCATGAGTTGGGATTAAAGGTGAGTGTAGTGGCCATCACTAAGAAGGTGCTACAGAAGCTTAAAGACCTGAAGGTAGGTAAATCATCCAGACCAGATGGGTTACACCCCAGTGTTCTGAAGGAGATAGCTGAGGAGATTGTAGAGGCATTGGTGGTGATTGTTCAGCAATCACTGGGACCAGGGAAGGTCTCAGAGGACTGGAAAATGGCTTGTGCAACACCACTGTTTGAGGGGTGGGAGGCAGAAAACAAGATTTCCTATGAGAGAGAGAGACCAGAATCTGTTTCCTATTTTGAACCAGAATAAAAACGTGGTTAGCCTGACCTCAGTCAGTGGTAAGATTTTACAGTACCTTATTAAGGGTAAGATCTTAGAATACTTGGAAGTACAAATTGGGCAGAGCCAGCATGTCTTCGTCAAAGGGAGGTCATGCCTAACAAATCTGTTAGAATTTTTTTGAGAAGGTAATGAGCAAGTTAGACAAAGGATAGCCAGTGGAATTGATCCATTTTGATTTCCAGAAGGCATTTGATAAAATACTACACAAGAAGCTACTAAATAAGAAAAGAGCCCATGGTGTTAGAGGCAAGGTAGTGGCATGGATAGTGGATTGTCTGAGAGGCAGAGAATAGGAATAGAGGGGTCTTTTTTCAGGATAACAGCCAGTGACTAGTGGACATCTGCAGAAATATGTGTTGGGGTCTCAACAATTCATGTTATATGAGTGATCTGGATGAAGGAACTGAGGACCTTGTTGCTAAGTTTGCAGATGATCCAAAAATAGGTGAAGAGACAGATGGTGTTGAGGAACCAGGAAGGCTGTGGAAGAGTAATCATTGGACTGCTGGAAAATGGACATGGTGGGCGAATGGGCAAACAAGTGGGAGAAGGGATACAATGTGGGAAAGTGAGGTTATGCATTTTGGAAGGAAGAATAGAGGCATAGTCTATATGTTCTAAATGGGGGGAAAGGCTTCGGAAGTTTGAAGCACGAGGGGATTTGACGCCTAGTTCAGGAATCTCTTAAGGTTAACATGCAGGTTCACTTGGTTAGGAAGGCAAATGCAATATTGGCCTTCATTTCAAGAAGGCTAGAATACAAGAGTAGAGACGTATGGTTGAGGCTGTGTAAAGTTCTGGTCAGATGGCAGTTGGGACATCGAGCAATTTTGGGCCCCCTATCCTGAGAAAGGACATGCTGGGGTTGGAAGGAGTCCCGAGGGAGGTGTACTAGAATGATCCCGGGATGAAAGGCTTGTCAAATGAGGAGCAGTTGAGGAAGCTAGGTCTGTACTTGGAATTTAGACGGATGAGTGGGGGATCTCTATTGAAACTTGTGGAATTTCTGTGGTCTGGATAGAATGGAATGTGAGATGTTTCCATTGGTAAGAGACTAAGAGCTGATGGGACAACCTCAGAATGAAGGGATGACCCTTTAGAACTGAGATGAGAAATTTATTCAGCCAGAGGATGAATCTGTGGAATTTATTGCCGCAGAGATCTGCTGGAGGCCACGTCATTGATCCTCTGTAAGGTAGAGAGAGGTTCTTGATTGGTTAGGGGGATAAAGGGTTATGGGGAAAACGCAGGAGAATGCGTTGAGAAACATGTCAGCCACAATTGAATGATGGAGCAGTTTCACTGGGGTGAATGGCCCAATTCTGCTCCCATATCTTATGGTCTTAATGGGACACTTGGAAATATTTACACAAATTTAAAAGATGCTTTATTAAATGCTTGAAGTGAATGGTTTCATGGTTTAAAATCTGAAGGGAGGGAAAGGTTCTGTTCTTGCCAAGATTTCCTAAGCGAGAGAGAGACAGACAGAATCCATTTCCTGTTCTGAATTGGAATAAAACGAGTTCATCTTCAGTTGTAAGCTGGGACTTTCAGTTGATTAGTCAGCAAACCTTTACAAGTGAGCCAGCTACGTTGTGCCTCTTGTAAACCCATGGAAACATCTACAGAACGGTGACTGAAAAGCAAAATTCTGATCACCTCATCAATAAGAATCCCTTTGTAGTGTTCTAAGCTGATGGATTGTAACTTTTCTTGCGGCTAGAGTGTAATTGCTTGAACTAAATATAAGAAATCTGATCCTTGCTTTCCTTTTAATGTGGACCTCAAAATCACATAAATTGGGGAAATGTGTAAACTTATTTTAAAATCTTTGACAATTCTGGCTTTAGTGGGACTTGATCTCCAGTACAATTGCCCAGTAAGTCAGGGCAAATTTTAGTATAAGTTCTCATGTTAGTAAGGAGTATATAGAAGGGCCAACAAGACTGGGTGTGCTGTTGTTTCTATTATTTGCACTGTTTCATTCCTTACTGACCTTTTTCTATGGCAAAGTGATATGTTTGAGTGGCTCACCAGAGTATTTCAGAAGGTAGTTGTGTCATCCGCATTATTCTGCAATTGGAGTCACGTGTAGGTCACGCTTGCTAAGCATGACTGACTCTCTTTCCCTAAAGGACATTAGGTGGGTTTTTATGACCATCAACAATGGTTTTCTGGTCACTATATTGTGGAGACCAGCTTTTAATTTCAGTTTACTGAGTTCTAGTCATTCTGAGTCTGGGCCTCTTGAATGCTAGGCCAGTGACGTTACCACTTTGCAACTGATTTAACCATTAATTGGAAAATCTGTTTCTAAAGGTCAAGCTTGGTGTTTCAAATGCATCACCTTATGAAGTAAATGTCTTTCATGAACAATTAGATACCTAAAAGGGTTAGGGTTTAAGTTTCCAACTTGAAAATTAAGAAGATTCAAGCTATTGCTTAAATAAATTTGTTATACATTGTAGTGCAAATATATTGAAATCTGGTCTTGAACTTAATTTGCAAGATTCCTTTTTGTGGGATCCCTCTATATTTCGAATTATCCGGCATACAGTTCATAGATTTTTGTTTGCATTTTTAAAAATCAATTCTGAAGGTTGCCAATTTGTTTTCCTTTGTTATTGAAACACTTTGAGTCTGTTGAGTTGTTCTAGTAATGTTTTCTTCCCCCACAGATATTTGCTCTAGTGCTTGATTCTGATAATCCTCAGCGGTTTACTATTGAATACATTAAAGGGCAGGTTTACAAGTATTCATCCACTGAAAGGTATGAGATTCTCTCTATCCTATTATAATTTGCTTTACACTGGGTGCTCAGAGGGACATATCTGGTTTTCAATTCTTGAAGAAATTCTCACAATGTTCAAGTGATTCATTTTTGGAACGTTTTAACATATAAACTGAACTCCAGGGAATTGTAGGCCTCTGTACCAACAGTTCTAAGTTTTCTGTTCATGAAACAAAATGGCTTGCATATAATATGGACTTTAATTTTCAGAAACATGCTCTTTCACAGCAGCAAGGCAGAGACAGAGGCTATGTGGCCCATCACGCCCGTGCTGACGCTTTCAGAAAGAGCTATCAGTTCATTGTATGTTCTGCCCTTTCTCCATAGTCCTGGAAATTATCATTTTGAGTAGTGCTTTGACTCCTTTTTGGTAGTTGCCATTGAGTCTGCAGGAATGTGCAAAGGATCATTGATCAATTGAGGGGGCAAAACTGACAGATGGAGTTCAGTGTATGGACCTGGACAATGATCTATTTCTGACATAAAATGGCTCAGAACTGTGGATCAGCCAAGAGACTGCGTTTTCAACGGCACAGATCACTTAAACTCGGGGGCAAGTCTAAAATAAATTGAAGCTAATAGAATGTTGACTTTGATTTCAAGCTGATGGGAATGTATATCATGTTACATCATACGAAGTTCTCATTACATCTTCTGGAGCATCACGTTCAGGTTTGCGCACCAAACCTTAAGGATGTGCAGTAAGTCCTGTGTATCTGCCAAATCATGAATTCGCCTATCTGTGCCAAAAAATAAGAATCAGCTACTTTTAGTGAGCTCTGTACTTGTGAACGTCATCGTTCATGACGGTTGTTGGGGAAAGAACACTCGCAGATAATAAGGAATGACTATATTTGTCCTGATGGGGGTATAGGACAAATTACCAGAATGACATTGAAGTTAAATTGTTATGATAAGTTGCATAATCTAGGCTTGTATTCCTGAGTGAAGATGATTTGAGGATTGATCTAATTGAGGTATTTAAAATAATCAAAAAGATTTAGTTGGGGTGGATAGAAATTATTTCCTTGTGTGTAGGAGGGGTTGATCTAAAAGAACCCTGACGTTAGAGCTAGATAGTTTCGGAGTCATATCAGGTAGCCCTCCTTCATACAAAAATTATTGAGATTCTGGAACACTCCTCCTAAAACCTGAGTTCAATTAAAAATGTCAAAACTGATCTTTATTTTTCCCAAAGATAGTGAAATTTGTAAAACAAATACAGATAGAAGGAATTAAGATATAGGTAAGTCATTCACTGGCAGAAAATGCTGGATTGCTGTCTGGTCTACTGCAGTTCCAATGGTCTTTTCAGGAAGTGCGTTCCAGGTCTAACTTCTCTTCTCATCCCATCCCCCTCCCCCTCCCCATCCCACCACCAACCAACCCAGCATTACTGTCTAATTATTTTCAATCTGTACCTTCTGCTAGTGACCTTGCTACAAGAGGAAAGCTTCTCATTATCTAGTTTGTTTAAAGAAAAAACTCTAAATTTAAAATCTATTAAATTCTCTGATTACATTTCCTCTTGACCTTTTCCTAATTGAATCTTCCAATTTCTTGGGCTACCACATCTAAAATGCTTTGTCCCTGATGCTGTTTGGCAAATCTTTCATTCTGTCTAGAGCACAGAATTATGGTCAGTACTTCAGCTTAACCAGTGATTTATAAATATATGCTAAACCTTTTGGTTTTGTACTATGTGCCTCTAAAAACCTTGCATAGTTTCAAACTGCCTTTTAGTAACTCATTCTGCTGCCTTTGTGGATTTGTGTATATGAATTCTCAGGTCTCTCTCTTCCTAACTCCTGTTAAAATTGTACCATTTATATTGCCTGTCCTCACTTCTTCCTTCCTGTGTTGAATTTCTTCTGCCGGCTGTTTGCCCTTCTGTAGTTTGCTGTTTTGATTGGTTATTACATTTGCAAAATTTGTGACAGCAAGTTTTTGAAGTCCAGTTCATTGTGTCAAAGAGCAGATATTTTTAACCTTTTTAAATATAGCCACTTGTTTTACATAGTTCTCCCTGCCGCTTCTAAGTTTGGTATAGTGTAGCACTACTTTTTTTTTTGTTTGCAGTACCGTTGGGAGTGTAAAATATGTGCCTCTAATCTGATTTAGCTTCCTCAGTCTCCCTCTGTTACAGCTACATTAGTTTCTCATGCTGAAGTAGAAGCAGGTTTTTAAAGTTTTTTTTTGTCTTTTTTAACTGACTTGATTGGCAACTCCATTAAAGGTACACTACTTGTCCCACAATTTTGAGCACTGGAGACAATTTTACTAGTGGGAAATGATTATGGAAAAGAGAAATGTTATTGCAGGTTCCTTGTGCAATTTTAGGGTGAATACCCACGTTGGGGAGAAAGTATTTAAGTCTTCAGTTTATAACATAAACATGGCTCAAAAGATTAAATAATCATGTTGTAGAGTTATCAGATCAAGTTCTTTTAACTTTTCAGCATAATGCCAAGAGCAGCACCAGACCATGTAACTAGCATGTTTATGTATGATTTATTCAATATTAAAATCCAAGTTATTCAGCATAGTTTTTTGTGTAAAGAACAAGGATGATTGCTCTGGACTGGTACTGTAAAGTCTAAACTTCAGTCATGTCCTTCCATGTTGATGTTCTAGGAGGAGCGTAGTTTCTTAAATTGCAGGTCTGAGGAATGAATTTATATATCTAAGCCTTTTTGTCTTTGAAGAATTGCCAGACTTTGGCAGAGCAGATGCAGAAAGTATCTTGCTTCACTCGTTCTGTCTCTCGCTCGGTCTCTTTTCCCATGCCCCACCACCATCAACCTTTTAAAACTAAAAGATGGTGCAACCTGGATGTGTTTCCTTTGACATGATAAGCTGGACTTTGTAAACTTTAAGTTACCAACCAAAATACTTGATCGTGATTTGAGTTGAACCTTTTTAAAAAGCTATTTTAGCTAAACTGTCTGTAGTTAAGAGATAGCATGGACTACATATGGAACTGGATAAAGTCAATAAAATGATTGTTTGAAGATCATTATAGAAACTAAGGAATTGATGTTGTAGAGTTCTTTGTTAACATTTTCTACCCTAAAGTATCAATCAACTGAGACTGAAACACATCAGTCTCATTACTGATGACATTAATTCACGTAAACTTTCTAGGTAAAGATGCTATTTCATCTTGTCTGTGGAGTGCAAATCTGTAAGCACAATATGATCAGTTGTCAGTCTCGAGTGATAAGGAAACAAGTTTTCGTCTTCAAACCACTTGCTTGCTCAGAATCATTGTAATCCTTTGCTTTCATTTCCAAACTCTCTAGAAGTCTATTAATGAGCCGATCAACCATCAATGGACTTTTTTCTTTCAGTTGCCTTCTCGTGGTTTCAATTAGCAGTTATCTTGCTGTCTTTGTTAACCTTGTTGTTAGCTTATTGCTCGTAGCCAATGATCTCCAAAAGTGCAGAGTTTATCTGTGATACAATAATAGGAAGCATGGCACTGTTTGATCAAATGTAACAATTTCCTCATGCTCCTTGTACACTGTTCCCAGTATTGCTTTGTAGATTGTCAATCCCAAGTTAGTCTGTTTGCAGTTTCATTGCAAATGGGGTTTCACGCATCTGGTGATACTTTTAATCAGGCTTTGCTTTTTTAAGCCAAGTGTTTACCCTGTTAATCCAAGGGTTTCAATTTCTTTCTTGTCTCTGTTTCCTGATGAATTTCACCTCAATAGTTCCTGTTTTTGCGTAAAACATTGTTTGGAAGAGCAGGCTTCAAAAATCCCCATTCAGAATCCTTCAGTGTTCACGATATGATTTATTCATTGCTTACCTTACATGAATTAGAGGTTTATATATTAGAATAGCTTCATAAGTGTTGAGGACTAGATGGTATTGTTACTCTGGTTGACTTTGTATTTTTGAGACTCTCAGCTTGATTATTAAGAAGTTAATAAAACGTAAATAAGGAATTTGATTAACTATGAAAGTGGTAGGTATATGTATAACTAAAGTTTTTTTTTATGTCTAATGTATCAATTCTAAGCAGCTTTATCTTCCTTTACTTAGAGACTCCTTAATGGCTAGCTTGCTAGATGGTGTGAGAGCTTCTGGTAACAGAGATGTGTGTGTAAGGATGATACCAACTCCGAAAGGGCAGAGATGGGGGCTGCTGAGTATGCCGGTGGATGAAGAAGTAGAAAGTCTACATCTTCGGTTTCTAAATGCTCCTCCAAGTAAGTGCATTTGATTTGTCAAATCAGCAACAATGTTCCTAGTGCATCTTTGCTTCACATTTCTGGTAATAACCATTGCTTTGAATGACAAGCTATTGCATAATTCAGTTTTATAGTTTTGCTGCAATTCACTTCAGTTTTATCTTTGTGCAATGTCAGCTATAGTTGTCCTACAATATGCATTAACACAAACATTTCAAATGTTCTTCTTTGAATCACTTTACAGTTTTGCACTATAAAGTTGTGGTTTGGCATATTTAAAAAGATCTTCATGTTTGCTGCCCACTTGGCTTTGAAAAGTCTATAAATCACTTCTGTCCAAAATCTCAAAGCATGAGCAGTTATTAAAATATAATATTAGTTCAAAGATGCATACAGTTGAAGATAACTTTACAATCGATGGAGTGTACATTTTGGTTAATTATTCTGTTACTGTACTCAAATTTCTTTAATGTTGCATTTCAGATGGCAGTTTTTCAGATGCAGTGTTTAGGTTTAATGCGAACATCTCATACAGTGGAGTTCTGCATGCAGTGACTCAAGATGTAAGAGCAATTTTCCTTTAAAGCCTTGCAAGTCTTTCAAACGTTTTTTTGCATGAGGTGGTAAGCTTTAAAGAGAATTGCCTGTTTTCTGCAGGGCCTTTTTTCTGAGAACAAAGAGAAACTTATTAATAATGCTATCACGGCGTTACTGTCTCAAGAAGGCGATCAAACTGCTAATAATGCAGAACTGGAGAGCCAGTTTCAGGCTGTGAGACGACTGGTTGCTTCGAAGGCTGGTTTTCAAGCGTTTACAAAACTTCCGAAGTAAGCAATCTATTTATTATATCAAAAGGCCCCCTGGCTTGCAGGTGGCCATGAATTGGGATGATCAAACTAGTTTTAAAAGTTGTACTTGTTGTATACAGAAATCCTTCAAGTACAAATTTTCCAGAACTAAAACAGTAAATCTGCTACAGTGAACTAATCAACCGTTGTAGGAACGGAATGGTTTAGCTTAGGTATAGAGTAGGTGTGACACACCAATGGTTTGTCAGTAAATCCTGAACATGAATTTGGTTGAGATGTTTGATGCAAGTGCAGGTGGTTGTTGTGGAAATGTAAAATCTTTCACTATGCTTATTTCCTGCAGTGACTTGCATTTTCTTTCTGCTCATGAATGTTATCAATGCCTACAACTGGAAGAAGATTTCCTTGTGCTTTTTCTAGGTTCTTTTGCGCATTGCCATGTCCCTTTCTCTCAATTGAAGGTTTACTACAAACAGACCCTTTAACTGGCTCAGTTTGATCAAAATGACAACGTAAAGTGCTTTTATAAGGAACCTGAGCAGCATGCATCATAGGGCTGCATGATTGAAGAGTATTATCGTGACTGCAAGGTGTAGATTGTAGGGGGGGGGGGGAAACACAAACTGTAGGCAACCTAGTAAAGTAAATAGACTAGTTGTGTATAATACCATAATGTACGATTTGGTTATTGTTTAGAGAATGTACAATTTCAGGAAGACTCACGTTAGCGTTATGACCAAGAGCCTAGGGTCTTGCAGCCACCCTTCAGTAATTAGTGCAGACTTGGTGATAATACACAATGATAGAGTTTGTGATCAGTATTGAAACCAGGCGCACTTTTTTCCTCAACCTCCAGTGAGAGTCTAATGATCTCCTATGGCAAGAACTTTTAACAGTTAATGTGCAGTTTATAAACTTCTGTATATTTTCAGCTGAATTATGCTGACAACGTCACATTTGGTTTGCAAACATTGTGAGCCGTGGTGTTTCTGTAGATTTTGTCACTGTTTGTAATGTGTGACCTTTTTTCCCTATGTTGTACGTTCAGATTTCGAGAAAGGCTGGGTGTGAAAACAGTAAAGGCTTTAAAAAGAAACCATGATGGTGTTACACACGCTGCCATCGATGTGCTGTGTGCTCTGATGTGTGTAAGTGTAGTGTAATGTTAAAATTTTATTCACAATCCCCTCAGATCCAACAACACCTGCATGCAAAATAATCAAAACGTTGAGTAAAATTGCTCACTATATTCTTTGCTGTGCAAGTAGAGATCTAATTTCCCCTCCCATTTTTCCCAATACATTGCAGTTTAAGTAGTCATTGAAACTTGTATTAGAGAAAGTGGCTGTTGAGCCTAACAACAGGCTCTTTTGAAAGAGCTGTTCAATTAGTACTACTTGATTGCTTTCCCAGAAAACTCCAACTTTTAATGGATTTATTCACTTCCCTTGCAAATGTAATATTGAATCTGCTCCTGCCACCCTGTTGGGTAACATTTCCAAATCAAAACTTGGTGTGTATTTTTAAAAAAATCATCATACCTAGGCAGCTTTTTGCTCTTGGTCTTGAATCTGTGCTCTGTATGTTGATCCCGTTACCAGAGGAACAGTTTCTTCCTATCAGTCTGCTGTAACAAAATTCTGAACAATTCTTTTTGATTAACCTTTTATTTTATTAAAGAACAATCCTAGCTTCTCTGGTTTCTTCCCACAGCTGGGATCCTTCATCTCTGCTACTAGTCTCGTAAATTGGGAGGGTGGTGGGAGGAAGAGAGAATAGTGACTACTGCCACTGTAAAGTTTCTGGACCTGTTTCAAATCTGTCCACAACTTTACCCCATCCTGTTCTGACATTTAAAATTTTTATTTGTTGCTCTTTGCTTCCCAACACACCGAGGGGAGAGTCACCATTACAATTAAAGATGGAATAGTATTTATATACTGCATTGTCTTGTGAGGAAAATCTTAAGGGGATGAAGCATAGTATACCCCTTCCCCACACATCAAAAAGGGCGTGGTTTTTTTTGCATTTTTGGAATAAATCAACATCCGTAAAAGGATGCTAAGTCCCATTTGGCAGCATAGCGTTGGTTTGTGACAAGTTGATGTAATGAAGACATTATTTTGAGGTGATAAAATTAATATTTTGCACAAAGACTGATACCTGTGAATTTTATCTGGAAATTTTACATCTCTGCATTCATGAATGAGTACAGTTTAATTGATTTTCATAGGAAATTCGAAAGGTGATAAACCTGCCTCCAAATTTACTGTGCACGTGTGTGTATATATCCCGTATCTTTAAAGATACTTGGGTTTATTGCTAAAAATGCTTTAATTTGTTAATAGTGCATGTCTTGGGATAGTATGAATTTGAAATTCATTAGTTATTTTGAAAAATTAATTACTTGTTTAATTTTATCAAATTTAGCCTATGCATGATGACTATGATTTGAGACAAGAGCAGCTGAACAAAGCATCACTTCTCTCTTCAAAGAAGTTTTTAGAAAATTTACTTGATAAGTTCAATGCCCATGTGGTAAGTCTGTTTCATATAACATGGTGAAACTTCATAATTTTAGTAATTATCTCATTTCATTACATTGTGGAACTTCTTAAACAGCCATACTTCAGAACTGCAATCATATATCAGGAGCCACATTATGTCACATTAATAAAAACCAGTTGAACTGCAAAGGCTGTTCAAAATACCACAGCTAATGTTCTCATGACTGCAAATTGTATAATTGTACACTGATATGTTTTGGTGAATTTGAGGGCTTGTGCTTTTGTCTTCAGTTTTATTCTTTCCCACTCAGTTGTGCACGGTCCAGTGAATGATTGCACAAATAGATTGGAGTCCACAAGTTCCTGTGAACTCTTCAGTAGTGGAAATCCAGCACCACTATTCCCCTGAGTATCAATAATAAGCAAGTTTAATTAAACCGCTGGAGGTAATGCCCGGTTCTACCAAATTGACTAACTTGGGTTAAAAGAATAGGCATGCCAGGTTTTTTCACTAACAATAAAATATTTAAGCTATCTGCTTTTAAATAATGGCAAGAACAAAACATGAGTTGCTAACTTAAACTCCCTACCCGTTTTTAGAATTCGCACACTCCTTCAAACAGGTAAACAACAAAATATTGTGGGGAGGGGAAAAAGGTACACCGTTCTAGCACCAGTATGGATCACTGACATTGAGTTTTCTTTTGACTCTCTTGTTGTGGATACACCGAGTTTGTTTTTCTGACTGGTTGAGATTTTGCTGGAGAAAGGTGAGGGAGAGTAGCTAGCCACTAGGGATTTCTTTTCTCCTCTCCACATAGAAGAGAGAACGAGAAATGGATGCTTTGTTGCAGGCTGTGTTTTTGGCTGTCGCCACCTGCCCATGAATCAGTCAAGTGGCTGTTACTTTGCTGAGCCCACCTAAACCTGAAACAACTGGTCCCAATTGGAAAAAACAATCAAAAGACTGTCTCTGGGCAAAATTGCCCTGAACGCGCACATGCAGTCACTGGTGCAATTTTGTCTAGAATTCTCCTTGAATAAGGCAACATTGTATATACAACTGTTTCGGTAACTTGCTTTTAAAACTGCAAATACCTTCTTAAACAGTTCCCTTGGTTTAAAGCAGGATCTCTTTTGTGTTCAGTCCACTTTTTTTTTTAAAAAAGTGGTTTTTGCACAGAGGTGATATGTTTGAGTGAAAACATAATGTGTTGGGCATTAAATAAGATTAAGAAATATTAGACCAAGGAAAGGGAGACCTCTTCTACACCTGGCAATACTTTTGTGGGATCACTGTTTTGGAAAATCTCTCTCATGCCTAGTTTTCTGCATCAATGGGCTTTATAAGCCTGATCCTGTTGCAGAGCAGTAGATTAAACATGAGCCTGCCAACTGGGCACCAGGATTCCTAAATCACTGCGTGTTGTTGCTTAGCGTCAAAAATCATGCAAATGATGCTCAAGAATGCAATGCCAATAAGAAATAGATTATGGGCTTTGTGTTATTTTAGAGGAGTTTCACTTTAGATCTATCCCGATGAGTATTTGCATGTACTGTGTGTGTCTCTCTCTCTCATTAACTGTACCTCAACTTGGATGGAAGCCAAGGCACAGGAAGTGGTAAGATTTGAATCAGAAGACTTGAGAATAGCTTTCAAAAAGTCTGAAGACAAGGAGATGATACAGTGAGATAAGGGAAAAATGTGTGAAAGCAAAATGTTGGTAAAGTGCAGGTGGCTGTGTTGAAAATCAACTAATAAAATTCATGTAAGAACTTAGTTTGAGCCTTTGCACTAGGTGTATTGAGTCCTGACACATCCTTGCACAATATTTACCTGATATGTATGTACGTGTGCACACAAGTAACCATTGGTATGTGTTTCAGAGATAGTAGGAACTGCAGATGCTGGAGAATCTGAGATAACAAGGTGTAGAGCTGGATGAACACAGCAGGCC